TGTTATTGTAGTGTATAGTATTATTGAAGAATAAGTTAGACATACATGTCATCAAGGGTTTAGATCTTGTTCCTGTCTTTGGGACATATGGGCTGGAAGGTCTCTCCTGGCTTTATCTTCTGTGATTCTGCTGGGGTGTCACACTTGGTCAGATGTGCCCCTGCTTTTAGGGACAAACTGAACAACAGCAAAAATTATTTGCAAACTCCTTGCAAAGTCCTCACAAACTAAAGCAGAATGCCCCCAAAGGGTTGCATGCATGTTTGTTTTATTTTTCAGATTTAAAATGTTCCCAATTCATCAAGGTGCTTCCACGTGCCCCCAGTGTATTTGCATCATGTAATTGGAGTCAGTAGGGTCTGTTCACAAAGCATGTGCCTGGGGCCCTGCTTTTTGGGAGAGTTTTACAAGTTCTAATGATGGTAAGACAACATATGACTAATGCACTGATTTGAAAAACTGCCCTATTATCTGATCAAAAGTACAAGCTCATGAATATGATACTGCAGGTCATTTGGCTAAAAGATACCTAGAGTCTTCCAAATTTCTAAAACAATCCCATACACAGAAGCAAAATAGTGAATAGTGGTTGCCTGTTCGTCGCAAATCATGTGGAATGTTTTTATAAAGGTAGTTTTATCAGACACAAAGGACTCAAACATGGGATATCCTGGGCTGGCAAGAGGAGGAGTGATGTTAATTTAGGTTGTTGTCCATGCGATCTGTCATGCTATTAGTAGTAGTAGTAGTATAAATTTGTGAATTTCAGGAATGATGAAAACTTTCCTAAAAACAAGGGAAAGTTTCTAATTGAGTTCAGGGGATTCTGCTTCTGCTTTCAGGCATAGGGAAAGTCTGAGGGTCAAAAGATCCTGTGTCCACAGGCAAGCACACTTGGAGGGAGGTTAGGGATGCCATCTGCTGCCACCTGGGCTAAGATCAGCTGCAATATGACCTGGCTGCCTGGTCTCCCTGTAGAATCAACAGAAAGGGAAGGACACCCAGAGACAGTGAGCACCAACCTCGACGCTTATGCTGGAATGACTGAACCACCTTCTGAACAGGTTTCTCTCACCATTCACTGTAGCTTAAGCTACAAATTTCGACTAAAGTTTTTGCACTGCAGTTGTAGTATTTGGTAAAAGAAGTCATTCTCATTAAATATCTTTAAACTGCCCTGGCAGTAGGCTGAAGGAGAGTTACTTCTAAGAAAATACATTATGTGGACAAAATATGATTGATTCACTATTAGCATGCCTTGAATACATTAACAGAAACCCTGTTCTTCTCTCATACAGCACTTAAAGATTTTTTAAAAAACAAATAACCCTTTCCCCCCAACAATATCTACTTTAACAAAGAAACATTTATAGAAATCTAATGATTTGGGATGAAAACCCAAAGTAACCTCACTGACTGAGGAAAACAGTGGTCAAAGCTTCCCTTTTTTTGCTATAGGAAATCCTGGAATTTAAGTAAATTATTTTTTTAAAAAAAATATCTTTTCCAGGGGAGAAAGAAAATCAACAAAAAGCAACTGCCTCCTGGCAGATGACTACAAAGTGGAAACATGTCATACAGAAATGCAGAATGTTGATTTAGGGCTGCTTTTGGAATCCCTTAGAGGTAGCTGGCTGATGAATGGCCTCACGCTCCTTTTGTGTGTCCCCCGCCAGCCTGCAGCGCCTGTTGGACGTCTCAAACCTCCCCAAGGTGCAGAATAGGATAGTTTGCTGTGCAATGGGTATTTTAGTTTTGCTGGAGGATCGAGCCCCTAAATGAGCAGGATAAACCCAAACTGCTAGGCCTACAGGGCATTATGGAAGCATTTTTTAAAACTGAAATAGAAAAACAGGCCCTCCTGGCAGTTTAAAATTTGATTTAATTTAGGGCTAGACTATGTGATTCCATAAAGGGGCAAATATTCACGTAAAGAATACATGAGCATAGGAACACCTATGGATGTAACTTCTTAAAACACGTCAACATATTTAAAAATCTAGCAGTAGGATACTTAGCAGTTTGCCTCTGTGATATACAGGCTTCTGAAAATGTCGGTCTGTGGTTTGATAACACCAAGTGCCAGAATAATTGATGGTATTAAATTATGGTCCAGGAACCACTGCACCGGATGTGTCTACAATGAGCAGTTACATTATGAACCAGATTGAGAAGCCAACCCATTCGAAAACAAACTTGAAAATGAAGGAATCTTGTCTTGCTTTTGGATTGTCTTTTAGCAGAACCAGACCCTGGGGATCTGTAGCAAATTTTTGCAATCACAGATGTCAAAATGTGTGACCTCAGCCTAAATCATTTCTGAAGCCTGGTCTTTGACTCTTATCACAGCTGAGCGCTATTAATCTTTATGATTCTTGTGCAGAAATTTCCTGCAGATTCAAGCACCCAAATGCTGCAGACAGTCTATTTGGCTCCTTACTCCCATTGAATACTTTGAAAAGCCTCTGCTTTAGACCTAATGCAAAAAGTGTTGATCATCATTTTCATGTATTTTTATTAATATATGCCCTGAAACGTAACAACTGTATTATAGATGTGAATCTGTGCAACAAGGCATAGCCTTTATAACAGCCAAAAAAAAAGTACTTGTTAATAAATATTACAGACCTACATAAGCATCTCCCCATACTTACGTTATGGAAAACTGATGCACGCTAACCCACCATGTATCGCTCAACAGGGTAGATCAGATCTGGATCAAAGGTGGGCACATGACTGCATTTCTGTTGAATTACTCATAGCATTTAGCACCTAGTTTTAGTCAGAGGTGTGCTTTAATGATAGCTTTATATTGGTTGTGGGAAAGAAGTTCATTTGGTATCCCATATATTTCAGGAGCTTGAATAGACAATCCCTAATCTGGTATCACTCCTGGAAGCACTAAATTAACCACTCAAAAATATTGGACAAATGTGAAATAGCAGCCTTAGCTTACCCTACACCAACTCTGTATTATGTGACTGCAGTAGTCTTGATGCAATAGCAGGAACCCTGAAGTTAATGTCTTGTATCATCAATTAAACACCTAAACCAACCCCTCACTATACGAATTTAGAAAAGAGCTTTCTCTGGCATCACTTGGTTTCAGATTTGTCTATTTACAGCAGTTTATTTCCCTGGAACATGCAGCACTTCTCACTGTCAAAGACATAATACTAGTTAGATGGATTATCTGCCCTCGTGAAGCAATTCCCATGCCTTTAGTTTTAAAGGCTGATTTTTCTCCTTACTATAATTTATTGCACATTAGTTATGATCATTTCTAACTACAGAACAACTATCCCACCCAGAAGATGTGGCAACAGTATAAAAGATGAGGGAAGACTGAAATGAATTATCCCAGAATCCAGGATGAAGTTTTTGTGCAGCGGTTGTCCCTTGCATATGATGTTGACCTGCATGTGTGTTTAGCAGTGCCCTTTTCTGGATGGACACCGTTCTGTTCACATGTTCTGTGTCTGTGATACACAATTTATGATCGCCTCTATACTTTTGTAACATCCAACCTAAAAGCTATGACCTTAAATATCACCAGCTGCAATATGTCATCTGATTATTGCTTAGACAGGAAAAGACAAAAGACCGCAGTTTGCTAAATCCTGTTGCTGTGCATGAATCTGGAGCAAGGTATTGTTCTTTTTGCCTCATATGATGCAAGATGTAGGCCTTTCCCTCCAAGGTCAGGATCTCAAATATTGTAACTGAATATTTATTATGTTGCATTGCTTCTTAACCCTTCCCCTAACCTTCTAACCCCTACATTACAAAATTGCTAAAAGAATAATTTTCAGGATCCCTAAATCCACTTTATGGAAGTTTTTTTTTAAATTACACAGAGAATCTGCAGTTTTGACTGTCGTGTCTTACGTTCAGGGGAGCATGTCATTTTTCTGCATGCTGTGAGGCAGAATGCCTTGCTCTGAAGTCCAGAATCCCCCATCCACAATCTACATGCTCAGTGATGCTGCTCTGTGACAACAGATGGATTATTGATTATCTAATACTAGATTAACTGAAAGCATTTTATGAAATACAGCTTACAATTTAGAACTTCCAAATTGAGTGTACATGGTCCTTTTGGACCTTCAGAATCATGAAATTTGGGATGAATTCCTTCCTGCACATTCACATCAAGTACTAACTCAAGCCTCAGTCCATAGGCACGCACACCATTACTGAGCCAAAGCCATAGCTGTGGAAGATCAACACTAACTCTATTTTTGGCATTGTGATTTGATTCAAAAGATCTTAAAGGCAGGAGAAAAATGAAGCAGCTTCGTCTTCTCCAGTCAGGGTTGTCAGTTTTGTAAGGGGATCCTGAAAAAATCTTATGGCTTCTAAATGGGGGAAGTGCATGATTTCTGGCCCTTCCAAAACACGTAGTCCATGGCAAGTGAGACACTGAGAGACCAGATTAGGGATCGATCCGGGTGGTCCCTTCTAGCCTTCTGTCCTTATCCAGTCCTATATCCTGTTGTCAGAGGTAGCAAAGCTCCCATGCTGTCTCTCTTCCAAGCCCAATAGATGCTCTTCGCCAGGGCCCTCAATGACAACCGGCACTTGCTCTTCTCTCTAAGAAGAGACGTGACAAATTCTGAGACACTTGCTGGCAGGAATGTAGTTCATAATGTAAAAAATGGGTCATCCTGGGCCAGCACAAAGATCTCTATATCCCAGCCCCTGATGCTGGCCAGCGGTGGATGCTAAAGAAAAGAGGATAAGTGATTAAGTGCTTCAGCAACAATCCCTCCTTTGATTGAGGTCTAAGCAGTCAGAAGCTGAAGGACCTCCCAAACCAGGCACTGTTTCCAAACCATCACATTTACTAGCCCTCAGAGAGCTACCCTCTATGTCTACTGTGTGCAAATAACATAATTATTGTTTGTTTTTGCTGTTGATAATACCATGTAGTATGACGGATTATGGACTAATGATGAAGTATTTCCTCTTTAATTTCCTTCTCTTGTGTTTTCTTTTAGCACCACTACATTGCCTTCCTATATCAGAATAACCAACGGCTACATCACAGTCAAACCCCCCATTTGGATTTCAAACCGTCTGGATCAGAGACCACGTTCAGATCACCCATCCCAGCCTCAGCCTACAAGCTCAGCTTCAACCAGCATTTTGTGGCCATCAATAACTTCTCCTTTCTGTGTGGCCATAGCTTCTTTTCTTCTGAATCTACTGCAGCCTTCCTGACCACATTAGTATTACGTGCAATCCCTTGGAATAGAGAAGAGAGATAATTTATGAAAGTGGAGGTTATGACAGCATTTACAAACTGAACCTACTCAGTGAATCAGTAGTGCCTTCTAGCTGATTTTGTCTCTTTGCCCAGATACATTTTGAAACTCTAAAGCTTTATTGTAACACTGACTTACATCTTCTTTTTGTAGAAGGATCTTTATTTCCCATAGTGCTATGGGGTTTTGTAAAATATACATGTTCATATAAAGAAAAAAAAAGAAAAAGAAAAATGTATTTATTCAACTAGTAAACTTATTTTTTCTTGATGTATATGTTAACATCCCTATTAATCAGTAGCGATGGTGAAACAGATAAATTAATATTTTCTATATTTGTTTTCTAACTGACAACTCTGCAAGTGTCTGAACGGACACCCAAAGAATGGCTTGTATGTTTCTTTAACCATTACTTTTTACAGCAGTTGTCCAATAAGTACATTTCTGCTAAATTTCTTTGTTTTTGTTTTAATTCTAATTAGCATAACTTATACTGAATAAAACACATGCTGCTGTCTTGGCCTATTCCAGTTAGAAAAATAGGTGCTATTTTTATTGCAAAATAGCTACTGCAACCTGTAATCTCAGATATTTTTATAGGATTTAGTAAGTCATTAGTCAAGATAACACACCAAGCTTACCTGTTGTCTTTAATTCAATTATTTAACTTATCACAGAATTACCAGTTTCCCTCTTTGCCCTGATATTAATTAGCTAACTCGAATTAAGACAGGCTTTTCTTAATGAAAAAAATCTATAATAATTCTACCAAAGTAATTCTCTCCCTCATCTTATATAAAAACAATGCATAAATGAGACTCAAACTTGATCTGCCTGTTGGGTATAAAAATGTAGTATCCTATTAATTTATTAAACTTCTTTACTCCAGTTATGTTAATATAAATCAGCAACCTGGAAGGCAGAACATGTCTAGAAATTCATTTTCATCTTGCTATAATGATGCTGAGCTGGTATCTCAGTGCTGAGTTATGACTTGTTCAAAATCTGTTCAAGACAAGCAGGTATTGAGTTAAACTCTATGTCATGGAGACATACAGAAAGTTCCTCCTTTTGTAGACCTTGGTGCCTCTGTTGACTTAGAAAAGTTATGACAGCTCACAGAAAAGATTTTTTCCCTGTCCATGGAGCTTCTTTTTATGACTGAGATGAAGAACATCTGTGAAAAAGCCATGTCCAACTTAGAAGCTATGTGTCTAATACAGCATGTTGATTTTTCTTCCCCATCAGGTCGTCTTTGATGAAAAATACCTTTCAATACATGAGATTCAAATGGAAAGTTATTTTTTGGTTGAGATAGTCTCTTTCTCAAAGTCATTTACAAAACAAAAATCTAAAATATTTAATGAAAATATATTAATTGAAAGAAGATTGAGAAAGCTAGTGTGCAAATTCTTTTCTTTATGAAAAACATCAGATGAAGATGATGACGGTAACACTGAAAACAGTCTGATAGAAAACCTTCATGTCACTTTCCCACCAAACCCAAATCTTGGTCTCCAGGACTGGAGCTGATTCCATGTAATCTTCAAGCTGGCAAGTCAAAGTTTAGAATTCATGGTTTGTTCTGTCACCATACCAATTAATGAAGGAAAATTAAGGAAAATGGGGCAGAATTTAAAAGACACGTGGTTTTATTTGAAATTGTGGTGAAATACTGAGCTTTCCCATCATGCATCTTAACTCATTGCTTTAAAAAGGCCAGGGAGCATGCACAGAACTTCTTTTTGGCTTCCTGCACACATGACCTGGAGCCATTCCTCTATTTTCAGCAAAAGGATGTGTAGATTTGTGGTCAGTTTAAGTGGGTACGGTAGACAGTGCTATAAGCTATCCCAATATTTTGAAGCACAGCAGTTGATAAAGCTGAATGGAAAACTTTGAGCCTTGCCTCAAATGCAAGTTTCAAGCACGTCCTGTGCATACTTTTGTGTTGTGTATTTTGGCTAGCAGAAGATTAGAGATGTTAGTTTTGGACAGAATCCATTCACCTTGCATAATATTTATTGCACTAGGCTGGATATTGGAAACATATTTTCAGAACTTTCAGTTTTATTTGAGCTATTACCCTAGAAATGCCTTCATTTGAATATAATGGCCTAACAGACCTTCAAATTCAACTGTAATGCATTTGAAAAAGATTGTCTCTCTTTTTTTATTGAAGACAGAGATTAGAACAAAATTATAATGTAATTATTATGCATTATCCACAAAAATACAACTGGAAATAAGGTAGGCCAAACTTGAGAGTGATGATAAGTTACATAATAAAAAGGAACAGTCAGTGAACCAAAACCAATTGGATGTTTTATTTGTTTTAATCTGGTAGAAATGAGAAATGATTCTGTGATACCATCCAGAAATAATTCCAGGTGTTGGAAAACTTACAGTGAAAGAAAAAAAGACCACAAAAATACGAGAGAGGGAAAAAAAGGGAAAGAGGAAAGAGCAAAAAATAGAAGCAATTTGTCCAAGATTATGAAGGAAACTACAAGTAGCACTGAGAATGGATCTTAATTCTATTCTTTTCCAGTCTGTGACCTTCCCCATAGGTTTGCGAGGCATTTTTGAATGTAAGGAGCATACATATCTCTATGCTTACAGCTGTTATTATATCACACAGCATAGTTAGTTCATCTCTCTTAGATTAGACTGCAAATCTCCTGAGCGCAAGAGAATTTCCCTTAGCTATTGCTTGTACAGACCTCTCTCTGAATCACTCTTCCATGAGACAATAATATTAAATACTCATTAGCTTGGACATCACAGCATTTTTTTAATATCTTGCAGGATTTTTTTGGCACTCTCTGGCATTTTGTCTGTAATTCCTCTGAAAAGAATGAATGTTGCTGAGCTCGCTGAATTTATGGTGCCCAGTGTTCTTCATGTGGTGATCCAGGTTTCAACGCAAGGTGTCTCTGGGGTTCAGAGTCAACACACTGACTAAAGGATCAGCTGAGCTTCCTCCGGGTCAGGGGAGATGATGTGTGCACACACATACACATACACACACGCTTTTAAAGGCAAATTCCTACTAACAACAATGGCTATTATATAAAAGTCATCAAGGAGGAAGGAACTGCAGGACAAGATTGACTAGCTTCTCATAGATCAAATTCAGAAACCCTGCGTGAGTAGCTTCAGCACAGTTTTCCAACCAGATATTTTGTTTATTCTGTCATCTTACCCTAAAATTTGACTTAGGGTAACTTGTTTCAATCTATGGCATGTACATATAGCAATACCAGCAAAAGAGACCCTCACTGTGATATACAAAATGCAATATTTATTAATCAGCCATGGCAGAGCGGTATTAATTCGAATATATTACTGTTATTTAGCAGAGATCTATGCATCTTCAATAAAGTGGATTGGATTTGAAGGCATGATTATATTCCCCTCAGATCTGAAGAGTGTCTGTCAGATTTGACACACACTTCAAAATTGGCTGCCAGTCTCATGGAACTCTTTCTGGGGGAGGGAGGGGATGGGCAGGGGTTGCTTGTTCATTTTTCTGGTGTTTTTTCAAGGCATTAAACATTTACAGGCTTTTGGAAACTGGCTGCTTGCTTTCTTCCTACAATGTCCATATAATCACAAGATTACAGGAGCAGGGAAGTTAAAAAACAATTAAAAAAAAAAGTAAAAAGCCATGGCCAATGAATCTCACATGAAACCTGCAAGCACTGTTGATACAATTTACCTACGGGAAACATACACACAATCAACAGACCTATGCAATGTCTATCGGTCAGGACATGCCTTTGATATGGTGGAAACCAAAGCTTAAGTTTCATGAGATTCATTCTTGCAACTGAAACCTCAGTTACAACTAACATTGATAAAATTTACATTATGTGTAGCTATAACATTATAAATGAATGCTAATTACATAATTACCTGCCAAGCTGTTGCCATAATGGAATAAATATCTTTTGCCACCATCAGCAGAACTTACTTCCACCTCTTTCATTGTTTTCACGCTTGCCTTGCCTGTGTTTAACTAGATGCTGTATTAACAAGCAGTGCCACTTGGAGACCCAGCTAGTAAGCTGGGACAGAAGGTATATTGTATTTTATGACTGATGTAGTTTCTCTGCAATCCCTCGGTCTGTTGAATAATGCAATATCTCTTCTGAAAATAAATGATGAACACGATTTATGATAGCTATGCTTTATACAGGTGTCAAAAATCTGCTTTGCTGAGCTTCCCTTCCTGTTCCTCCAAGCTCCAGTGTAATTTAGGAACACCCAAGGCACAGAGTTGTGTATTTATCCAAGGTCTTTGATATACAATTGCTGAGAGACAGACAGAGGGAGAGAGAGAACTTACTCTGTATTCAATGCATTGATTAGTCAAACGATATGACCCAATCGTCATTACCACCATTGTTAGAGAGGACTTTCCCATCATGTATTTATGTTAAAGCAAGCAAAGTGCCAAAGTGATCATCTCAGCATGAATGTTACCATTTTCAAGCTTTGCTTAGTACCATAAGATATTCATATGTTATATCCAAAAAACATATGGGCTTGAGTCATATCTCTGATGTTATCAATGTTCTGTAGGGTTTGCTGGATTTCAATTTAAGCTTGTAACAGCTAAACTGGAGCGGAAAGCCTGTTGCCTAATTTTGAGCACACAGGCGGGTGTGTGTGTTGTCCCAGCCCCAAAGCAACTGTTCTGTGACCAGCTTTTCACAAGGCACCTTAATCTAGCTAAAAGCCAGGGAGAGCTTTCCCACAGATAGTCAATACTTGTGCAGGAATGATTAACCAGCCTGCAGCTTGATATTCACGCTGAATTTTAAATTGCATGTTTGTCAGTTTTCAATTCAAATGTATTGCAAATATTTTTTTCCTGTTCCGCCTCCTGCTTTTTTGAACAGTTTTGAAGAGTGTAATAAAAAGATGCTTTCTAATATTATTTTGTCAAAATATTTTTGTAGCATAATATATTAATAAAATGTTATTATAAATCCATAGCACAAAAATGGTGGTGTCTAGGTTCTTTCCTTTGCACTAGCAACCAGGGAATCTTGAAAAAGGGAGTGTTCATTTTGCAGAGCTTATGCTCACAGATCTCGTTTGCTCAATACTAGCATCAGATGGGAAAACGCATAGTCTGGGACAAGGTTCCCCGTAAAATGTTGTGGTTTTGTCAAGTCTGTTCTTGTTGTGATTTGGAGAAGCTCTCTAAGTACCTGTCTATTTGTATGAAATTGCCACATCTGGTGTGTAATGAGTCAGGCAGGAGTAGACCCGGGCTCTGGTATTAGCACTTGAGAGAAACTATTTGGCTAACGTTATTGTATGTTTTAGTGGGGAAAAGCTCCAAACGGCAAATAAAGGACCAGGAAGCTGCGCTTGTCTCTTCAAAGGCTCAGTGGGAAAGCACCAAAAAGACCGGCTTATTTAGGAGGGGTGGTAGAGGAGAGCAGATTGGGTTTCTGAAGGACGTGGACGTGAATTCTGGGGTGAAATTGCCAAAAGATTGGTCTGGGTGTTTCTTAACATCCTCTTATTTGTGCAGTGCCCATGGTAATGCGGGGGCAATGCCCCTGGTGCAGGGAGCACCTCTGGACCCGCGGTGGTGACGGGGACACCGCAGTGCCGGAGCCAGTGGGGAGGGCAGCAGGAGGGCATGGAGGGCAGGGACCCGCTCCAAGGAGCATAGCAGCCTTGCCAGGTCCCTGCTTTGGTACCCCGGACGGAGTGACCCCCCTTCCCA